TATTTAAAACATTAGTTCCTCCATTTTTTATTTTGGTACTTAGGGCCTTTTTATTTCTGGTATTCATGGGTAACCATACCAAATTACAGCTCTTTAGAATACTAATGGTCTATGCACTAAGCCACGGACAAACGGACTCACAACGGAGTCACAGACTATAAGCTTCCCTTGTTGTGTTGACTAACTAAATATATGATTTTAATTGTTCGAGTGCGTTTTGCGAATTCTTGTGAGTTTTTCTCTTTTTCTTAGGGAAAGTATCGATATAAGATATCGATATGGTAGCATCACAATTAATTTGTCCGCCTTACACTCAAAACTTTTTCTATTTTGGTGTATTTAACCTATATATGTGCGTAAAATGTAATAGATTTGTGTGTGCCATACTGACACAAATTTTTATTGAGTAGGTGTGCAGTACTGTCTATGTAGTATTTCCTCCCCCGCACCAAAAGTAACAGACTTTTATGTTCGTAGCATTAGGCGCATTACTAGTCCATTGGGTAGAATGGTTTAAAGTTCCCACTAATAATTCAAATGCGCAGATGTTTAATACACAAAATCGCACCACTTTAATATCAAAATTCACTTCAAACAAATATTAAACGATAAAACAGGAGCAACAATCCGTTGACGGTCAAGTTCCCGCCAAAACTCCGACATGCAATGGTTACCCTACGTTTGCACCGAAAAACATCCAACACGTAATGTTTTGAAAAAAAAATCACATAAAATAAGTCAGTGTTTTGTTGATGGTCACGTTCGCACTCACAAAAACTGTGTAACATTTTCAACAGATATTAAGATTTGTTGATAAAAAAAAAGTTAAAAACAAAAAGTATGTCAATTTCAGGGGCGCAAGAAAAACATACTACTGTATACTTCACTACAAATGCAAAATTGAATCGCGGCACTATACATGCACACTACAGCATTTATGTTTGTGTTCATTGCATTTACGCATTGAGTTTTTGACTATTCAATCAACTTAAGAGGCCATGCGCATTAATTTTTAAACAAAAACTTTGTCATTTTCAGGGGGGCGCAAGAAAAACACACTACTGTATACTTCACTACAAATGCAAAATTGAATCGCGTTACTATACACGCAAACCCCACTGGTGCCGCTGTCTACATGCGTAAGCAAGGTAAGGCGAGGACTATGTCGCTATTTTTATCGATAAACAAATCTTTTTTTTCGTTCGATTTTGTCCTCATTTGCGTTACTCCATCTATTGGGGCGTAGCCCTGCACTTCACCCACCCGTACGAGGCTGCCACTCGAGAACCTTTTTCCCTCCATCGGTTGTCGATTCTTCGAACTCTATGGCCGGCCCATTGCCACTTCAGCTTACTAATCCGTTAGGCTATGTCAGTCTCTCTGGTTCAACTGTTAATATATTTTTATGCAGAAAACCCCGAGCGTATCCGTCTCCTTAGCTCACTGAAGGACTTTGAGCTTCCTCATACGACCAGCAGTGAAGGGTTTTTTAGTGTAATATAAAATTATGATTATACTAGTAAATATAATTAAATTTATAATCAAATTTAATCAAAAAGTTTAGTTGTTAATCATAAAGTTCTCGAAATTATCGGATATCATATCAAACCCAAAGTCGTCATAGCCTTAATATTGCTTTGGCTGCTAGCATGGTATTTCATCAAGTGCTTAATTTTTATTTCATCCATGACCACCAAGGTACAATCATTTTTTTTATCAGGGTTACTCTCCGCTCTCAATTTTAATGCTGTCAGCGCTCCTTGAGTAAACCCTGGTCAGCCATTGATGATACTATATCACGTAGTCGATGTCCGTGGTGCAGGCAAATATGTTCTAAAAGTTTTATTTACATAGCGGTAGGATTTTCGTTAATAATCAAGTGTTATGGCGAACCATCTTAACTCTATGAAATATTTAGTTTCTTGGCAGTTTTCAGACTTACTTTTAAGTAATTCTCTCTTTAAAAGTTTGCTTTCTTCAGTTCCTATCATTTCTCATATCTGTCAATGAATCTAGTACTTCTTGCAAACTTGTAACTTTTTTCCTTAAATACCGTTACTGCCATTGAAGCCTTTCTATGCTATTGGTTTCTATTTCAAGGCGTTTTTTAGTTTAATTTTCCTTGGTGTACAGTCTGTTCGCTTAGATACGATCGTTTTTGTGCCGCGCAACCTCAGCACGTGCAGCATTTTGTCAAAAGTGCGACATTAAAGATTGTACTTACGTACATTGACCTCTTTATATACAAGTACGCTGGACTGGCTATACACCGTGACATGATGAGGAAATTTGATTTGCGCCATTTTGGCGCTGATAGCAGAAGTGCCTGTCAATGGAATAATAACAGTGTGACTAAATATATCGATAAAATTCTATACCCGACTTATACCTTAATAAATAGAACGGACTCTATGGATAGATGGACTCTACCCATAGCGTCCATTCTATTTATGTATCATATCCATCATACAACGCCATTATTATTCATCATCATCATTAAAAGTCTTTTACAAGTCCACTGCTGAACGTAGGCCTCCCCCAAGGAATGCCACAAAGCACGGTCCTGAGCCACCTGCATCCATCAACTTCCTGTATGTCTTACCAGGTTTTCACTCCATCTAGTGGGGGAATTTACGACACTTCACCTGCCGGTACGAGGCTATCACTCGAGAACCTTTTTTACCCATCGGTTATCGGTTTTTCGAGCTATATGGCTGGTCGATTGCCACTTCAGCTTACTAATCTGTTGGGCGATGTCGGTCACTCTGGTTCTACTGCCGATATCCTCATTCCTAAGTTTATCCTCCTAAGCTTTCCAGCTTTGGCAGTGCCACGTCTTCACTCCTCTTCCCTGACGACTCCACCTCGACTACAGCGGTACAGGGAGAGGAATCTCCTCTAGCCGCAGCCCACTAACGCTCATCCAAAGTGGCTCGACATCATCAGGCGACCTTTCTACACTTGGCTATGACCCTTGAGTTTGTGGTAAAATGAGGAAATAAGAAATAAAAAAAACTTTCGAAATATTAATCTAATACTTTTGTACTTACTGGTACTGGTGCTACCAGAAAATATTATCGGAATACTGCACTTTTTAAAAGTGGTGCAGTTCTCATGTCTAATAAAAAAGTCGTCTGTGAAATATTCAGAACAAATATGATCATTTTGTTTCGGACGCCAATTCTAATACATAATTTTAGTCTAGATTCAGTTGGAAACCTGTTAATTAGTAAACATTTGATAATCATCTGTTATTGACCACTTTGTTTGTTAACAGATATGGGTAGGAAAGAACATCGATAAGTATTATAGACAAGGAACTCGACAACCCTATTGAATTTTATTGGTCATCAAAACTCAGTAATATACAGCCAAACACGTTGGTATATATGATATTAAGATTAGTAACAAATTGTTAAGTATTTATATTATCAAATAGTTTTAATTTGTTTAATATTAGCTGCAAATTCACTTACTTGTGAAATGTTATACCACTTCCCCTTTTGGTAACGAGTTTTACAGATTATGCACACTGTCATTATTATTAAAAATAACTCATTCAACGACATTTTGTATGTTATAGCCAGTCCAGCGTACTTTTATATATAGAGGTCAGAGACTGTAAAGCACCCGAAACGTCGGGAATCAAAAGTTAAAATTTAACGCGATGAAATCCGTAAGATTAGTTTCACTTAATGTGTAGTGTTCGCGTAAATATAAGAAGTCATATTTGTTAACTTGTCGAAATTCTAAAATACTTTAAAAAAGAATAATATTGGTGTCAAGGGTAATAGATTATTTATTTAATATTTTATTATATCAACAAATTAAATAGGTGTATTATTACTAATAATACACCTATTTAATCTATTGATATCTTACAAGTTCAAGGTTGGTACCGCAGTATCGGCTAACCTTCTTTTATTGATAACTTGGAGTAAGAAATATGATTTATCAAAATATTCGGAGTAAATGGTGCTAGTCGGTTTAGGTATCCAAGATTCATGATTTCTACAAGCTGCAATCCAAGTCTGCTACCTGAGAGGATCTATTGGAAATATGGAAATTCAATCCCTGTGCACAGGCTTGAGGATATATGTATAAGGGGTACTCACTTAGATTTATTTAAAGACTATCTTAAGGATCGAAAACAGAAAGTTAAGATAGGTGAATACTTAAGCGATGAATCAGATATAGCATTCACAGTTTCACAGGGCAGTGTCCTGGGTCCTACTTTGTTCTTAATCTAGATGAATAATCTAACCAACATGGACATACAAGGACAGCATAATCTACTATGAAGATGATACTGCAGTAATATTTACTGGTAACTCCTGGGATTCTCTTCGTAGATCTGCTGAAGAAGGCCTTGATAGGATCGTTAAGTGGCTGAACACTAACCTACTTACTTTAAATACTTTGAAAACTATATATATATATATATATATATATATATATATATATATATATATATATATATATATATATATATATCAGGGATGTTGCGGATGCGGATTTTTGAAGGTTCACATCCGCGGATGCGGATGCGGATGCGGATATTTAAGATCTTATATAAATATAGTATATAAATGAAGAATTAAAACAATGGTAAAGTAATTATTAACATTTTTATTAATGAAAATTAGTATTAAGTATAATGATCCTTTTTTTAACTTCACTTACTAATTTTCATATTAGTAAGTGAAGTTAAAAATAGGAGCATTATACTTAATAAAGAGTAATATTGCCGCCTTTTCTGATTCAAGGCGGTTACGCAGAGGTTCGTAAATTAAACCCGCGTTACTAAATAATTGTTCGCTAGGAACACTGCCTGGTGGAGTAGATAAAAATCTTCGAGCTATCGGTGATAATATCTTAAATTCCTCTCGATGAACACTCCAACACTTAAGAGGATTTTCATCCACATTGACTCTTTTTTTAGCGCGGTAAGAAAGTAATTCCTTTTTAAGTACAGCTTCAGTGCTACGATTTTCTGATACTTCTTGACTCTCATCTTCACTCGATGAATCCAACATCATAGCAAGGTCGCTTTTTAAGCATGGCTTTCTGACGAGAGTTGATGGCCCTGGTCCTAATTGTTCCATATTCTTTTTCGTGAATTCAGTCATTCTCATTCTTTTGGCCCCTTCGGAATTGGCAGTAACAGAACCGGAATCATCATTCTCAGTATTTGTCATTGTAATCATCAAAATGTCGTCTTTAATCTTTTCCTCAGTCACCGGTGTAAAAAATTTGTGCTTATAACGAGGATCTAAGTAGGTGGCGATGATATATAAATTGTTCTCTCCCAAGCTGGAAAACTTTGTGGAAAGTTCATTTTTCAGAGTCGTGGCGGCCTGTCGAATCGGATCTAATTCTTGTGACCCTGTTAAATACTCATCAACTTTTTTTTCAAGCATTTGAATTATTGGAATCACAGATGAAATAAGGGCGTGAGAGCTGCTCAGTTCTCTTGTGGCTTCCTCAAACGGTCTCAGTAATTGAATAAAGCTTTCAATGATTTTCCATTCTTCTGGCAAAATAGGGTTTATCTCATTATCATTGATGTAGAGACTTAGGGCATCTTTTATCCTTGAAAAACGCTCGAACATGTAAAAAGTACTGTTCCATCGCGTTACACAATCTTGGAACACTTTGATATGAGGTTGACTCAGTCGGTCTTGAATTGTTTGCAGTTGTTTCTGAGCGATGGTAGAATGATTGAAATGAGTCGAAATTTTCTTGCATTTTTGTTTGAGTATTTTTATGTTTTCTTGCGAACTTAAACAACTGCGGATAGCAAGTTGTATTTTGTGAACAGTACAATCTATGTCATTTAATGCTGCTAATCGCACGGCTCGTTTCATATTAGAGCCTTCATCTCTGATTAGGCAATGCACTTGTTCTTTTTTAATGTTCCATTCAGAAAGCATGGTGTTAAATTTTGCGGAAATTATGTCACCAGTGTGACGGCCGTCGAATGTCTCGCATTTCAATATAATTGATGATCTATCAAAGTTTTCTGCAATACCATGGCAAGTCAGGCTAAGCAAAGAAGCATTTGAGCTTGGATCCGACCAAATGTCAGACGTAAACGACATGTAATCAAATGTTTCGATTAATTCTTTAACTTTTTGAGCAACTTTGCCGTATAATTCTTTGCATACAAAATCAGTAAAAAAATTGCGTCCCCTAAAATTATATCTTGGTGCTAATTCTTGTATCAATCTGCGAAAACCCAGCCCTTCAACAAAGGAAAATGGTAAATTTTGAAGTGCAATCATTTCTCCAATTAGTTTATCAATTTTTTTCGAATTTGAATTATGAATGTCCCACTTCTTTTCTTTTAAGATTACTTCTTCTAAAGAGAGTTGTTTCTTTGCTTGTTGCAGAGGAGTGGCAACTTTATCTGAAAAGAATAAAGATATAAATAAAAAAATTCGGAATCAAAAAACTACCTAAAACAAATGAACAACCAAAGGACGTGTTTAATTTTCGAAAGAAAAAAGAGCGACCTGTTATATTTTTGTAAATATTTCTCAAAATTTATCTAAGAAAAAAATCGTCCAAATAACATTATATTGCAAAAAAATAAACATTAGATATAATACAATAACGCCAAACGGATTTTTTAATTATTACTAATCAAGAAAGTTGAAATGGAACGAAAAAAAAAATAACATGATAATTGTCAATGTCATGTCAAACTGAGAGATGACCTACTCTCTACTCCCTCTACTCTACTCCCTATCGAAGTTACGAAAAAAATAAATGTAAACAAATCGTAATAAGAGTTCTTTTGAAGTCGCTTTCACAAATAGCTAGTTATGCTTTTTTAATTTACGAAAAACATAAAACATTTTATTGTCAAAGTCATAATTAATACGTATAAAATTTAAATTAAGACAAAAATAAAACAAATAACTAATCTACATTTACAAAGAAACTAAAAAGCCAATGTTTCCTTTCTAAAACCTATAAACATTTTATACGCGGCTAATTTAAAGAGTACTTCATCATTAAAGACGATAATATTTAGATTGGAACGAGTGTTTCTTAATATGGTCGGATTATACCAGCCAGGTTTATTTGTTTACATTTTATTTTTTCGTAAACTGGGAAGGATAAAGCATCAAGGCAGCTACGACCAACGAAATGCTAAAAATAGACAGCAATACCTATTTAAATAAAGATATTATGATAAATTTCTAGTCTAAATATTTGCTAAAAAAGCGGAATATGCAAATTCGTTTACAATGTCATATATAAAAATATTGAACCGATCTTAATAAAATTTCTGTAAGACTTTAAAATAGATACCTAATTGTCTAAATCTTTTTACAAGTGACCGAGTTACGTGGTAGCAACAAACAATAGTTGTGAGTGGAAACATCGCCTGGTTTAGGCCCATCAAGGCACCATCAAGGAAAAACTAATTAACTAAAACTTTATATGATGAAACTTACCTGCGTCAGATTTTATCTTCTGTAATTGTTTTTCTTTACTCATGCTCTCAAATATGGAAAATTCTTCTTGGTGCATCGACTTTAGATGATTTTTTAAAGAAGAGGTGGTTCGACCCTTGCGAGAGTAGCTTTTATTGCATATAGTACAATCAGCCTTATCATGTTCCTCTTTATTTGGTTCAAAATAATTCCATATATTACTTTGTGTCGGTGGTGACATTGTTAATTAACTTGTTAGATAATTTAACAATAACAGGAACCTCGCTGGATAAATAAAAAATATTGTTTTAAAATGATAAACTTTACCTACAATAAAACGTATTATCGGTGTAACATAATGGTATTTACCTGACGATTTCCCAATAAACAATAATTTAAGTACACACAATGATCACTTTATCACAATACCATTCAAAATCTATTTATACGACAAGTAATCCACAGCGCAAACAAACACGTTGTGATTTATTTACAATAAACAAATGATGCACCACAAGAAACGCGTCGGATCTTGTAACCAATTTTTTCGCTCCCATTGGTCATTGTCACGTGCGAAAGGCACGCGCCACTGCCGGCCCCGCCCATTTCTTTCTTGTCACAACTTGTATTACATTCGCATCCGCATGAAAATCCGCATTGATTATTGCGGATGCGGATGCGGATGCAGAAGTCCAAACCTATGCGGAAGCTCCGCATTTGCGGATGCGGATGCGAATATTCGCAACATCCCTAATATATATATATATATTAGGGATTAATTATGACTTTGACAATAAAATGTTTTATGTTTTTCGTAAATTAAAAAAGCATAACTAGCTATTTGTGAAAGCGACTTCAAAAGAACTCTTATTACGATTTGTTTACATTTATTTTTTTCGTAACTTCGATAGGGAGTAGAGGGTCATCTCTCAGTTTGACATGACATTGACAATTATCATGTTATTTTTTTTCGTTCCATTTCAACTTTCTTGATTAGTAATAATTAAAAAATCCGTTTGGCGTTATTGTATTATATCTAATGTTTATTTTTTTGCAATATAATGTTATTTGGACGATTTTTTTCTTAGATAAATTTTGAAAGAAATTTTCTTAGATAAATTTTAAAAGAAACGTGAAAATGGCAGCCAGAGATGCGTCACAAGCGAGTCCGCATGCACCGAATAAAAATAAAGTTCTTATATATAAAAAATTATATAATATTGAAAATAAAGTTTTATCTTTTGAATAAGTATGTACTTATTCGGTATCGTTATCACTCGAATCTTTATATGTGTTTTAAATTAATGCTTTTTGTTGTTAAATGAATAAAGTACTTTATAACGATAGATGATTTTTCTTCTACAGTGATCTTTTACATAACTTTTTAATAATAGTTAATGAATACATATTATATCAATCATTTAAAAAAATCATTATAAATAAAGAAAGTACTACATATAAAAAGCGCCAAAGGTCGTTTAACCAGGGGCTACAAACAAAAGGTTTTTCTCAATCGGTTTGGCACGAACTATAGTATTCTTACAAAACCTATTATATTATTCAACATTTCTTTCATACTATTCATTTTGTTCATTGTCATACACTGATTTCAACCATATCTATTTTTTTAATATTTCTTTCGTTGGTTTAAAAGAGATACAGTCTCCGTGTTCTTTTATACCTTCTTTTATTGTAATTAAGGCGGATACACGTTTGTTTAGGATCCTGTTCCTTATTTTTCTTTTATTTAAATTTTACTTTTCCCCCTCCCCTCACAGAAATAAAGGGAGGCCTGTGCCCAGCAGTGGCACGTATATAGGCTAACTTTACCAAACAACACACGCCATTTGTTGGCTCCAGAACCTCTGCTTTTCCGGTCTGGTTAGCAAAATCTCTAATTAGCACATTTAGAAAAAAAAACGTAAAGCTTGTGCGAAATGGAACAAATATAACAGCATATCAGACTATGAGATGTTTTCCCAGTATTGAAAGTTATTTAAGGATATGTGTAATAAATGTTTTTCTAAATATATTGGATCGGTCGCGGATAGCATATGCAAAAATATTAAGGATTTCTGGGTATAAATCTCTAATCGTCGTGACAAATCTGGAATACCAGCTAAGGTTGAATATAATGATGATGTTTCAAGTGATCTACAGACAATATGCAATATGTTTTCTGAATTCTTCTCTTCCGTTTACGAACCGCCCTCACCTACACTATCGCAGTGGATACCACCTGCCGATTCAGCATCCCATGACACTACTATTACTAATCTTCATTTTGAAGTAGAAATGGTATTAAGAGAGCTGAAATCCTTGGATCCATCTAAGGGACCAGGCCCTAATGATTTATCTACTTATTTTCTAAGAAACACCACCACAGTTACATATGTAAACCCCTAACTATCATCTATAATAAATGCATTACTGAAGGTGTTATGCCCACAGTATGGAAACATGCTAACATCACACCATCAGTAGTGTAGATCAATATCGCCCGATATCAATTTTGTCCACTTTGTCGAAGCTTTTCGAAAGACTTGTGCATAACGAAATATATCCCATACTGCACAATATCATTATACAGCAACAGCATGGTTTCGTTAAACTTCGATCACAACCACCAATCTATTATTATTTTCCAGCGATTTATTTGAGAATGATGATGATCGCGTGCAGGTCGATGCAGTATATACAGACTTTCGAAAGGCCTTCAATAAGGTGGATCACGAAATGTTACTAAATCGAATAGCTTACAATGGCATTCGTGGTAATTTGTTACCATGGTTTGTTTCTTATATCACTAACCGTTGTCAAAGGTTTGTAATCAATGGATACCACTCTAACGTTACGATGGTTACCTCTGGTGTACCTCAAGGATCTATTCTCGGCCCTTTGTTATTTATAATGTTTATTAATGACATAAGTGACTGTTTTCTCAACTCAACATTTTTATTATATGCAGATGATGATAAAGTTTATAAATCAATCCATACTACACAAGACTGCGTTCTTCTCCAAGAGGACCTAGATAGACCAACAGACTATTGTTACAAAAGTAAGCTTCAGTTAAGCATTCCGAAGTGTAAATATCTCGGTTTTACTAAAAACAAAAATATTATTAAATTTTCGTACTCACTGTGTAACGTTCCTTAAGCTAAAGTGGATTCTATCTGAGTCCTCGGTATACTGTTTGATTAAAAACTGTGCATAGACTTACATATTGAACAAATTGTAAACAAAGCATACAAACTATGTGGATTTATTATGAGATCAACTCGCGACTTCAAACGGACCTCTTCCTATTTTTGTTAATATAAAACCCTAGTTCGCTCTCAACTTGAATATGTTGTGCCCATTTGGATCCTTATTATAATAAATATGTACACAAAATTGAAAATGTTCAACGCCGGTTTCTACGTGAAATGCATTTTAGATGTCATTAATCTTATTTACCATATGACCAGTTACTCAGTAGATACAAGCTTCTAACCCTCCACTCTAGACTTAAGCAATTGGAGTCTATGACATTGTTTCATATAGAAAGATGGAAATTTGACTGTATTGAGTTAAACAATCAAATAAAAATAAAAAGTCAATCAATCTACTGAGATAAGAAATCAGTTGCAACTAAGCTAAGCTAACATAGTTATGTAGTTCCCAGAACTGTCCATAGACGACGGGTGCTTGCGGGTAAACTCTTTGCCGTAAGTATCTGTCGATCCAATACCGGTATTCGTTCACCGATTCAGCGTATAGTTGCCACATATAATGAGACCTACGAGCATATAGACATTTTTATATGCTCAAAGGAAAAGTTTCGCGGTCTTTTATACAAGACTTGGTATTACATGGATCTCACAACTTTTTATGATAGAAGAACTAAGTTGCGAGACTTGTATTTTTTTTACAAATTATGTTTTTGATGGCATAATATATTTATACTTAAAACAGACTAAAC